TGGAAAGTGTGGAAAGATCCCAATTGGATGGTAATCATAGACCATCAAACACTTTCTATATTGAAAAGAGAAGGGAGATCGGCAGAAAGGAAGATCTGAAGTCAGGGAATTGGCATTACTGTCACCTCACACATCTGCCTGCTGTGTGCAAGCGGGGTGGGCAGCATAATTATCTTCTAAGCCTAACCCTTCAGTGACCTCACATGCAAGTATTACTGGGGATTCCTTTACTTCCTGGGCAGCTCCATTTTTCATATCAACTATGAAAGATCCACGGCTGCCTTCTTTTAAAAAAGAAAAAATGTGTTTCTCTTTGCAAAAGGCTGGATTTCTAGATCCTCAAATCTTGCCAAAGTGCCTTGCACATATGAGGGGGCTTCAAAAAGATCATGGAAATACTCCAATACCCTTTAGTTCCATTTCCCTACAAACTTTTGAAGTCCTCTTATACTAGGCATAGTCATTTCCCCCCAACGCCCACCATAATTTTTGGCATCACTCAGCAATTATTTCTTAGCTCTCCAAACCAGTCTTTCAAATATACCCTATAACGAGAAAAGCATTCTACTGGTACTAGAATTGAACACTGCTCTTTTGGAGGAAGAAAGGGGAGAGAGCACATGTGTGAAATGAATCAGTGAAATGGAGTGGCGATCTGAATGGGAGGAACTGTTTGGATGGAAATCACATAAATGTTGTCTTGCTACGTTTTCTTCCTCCTCCTCTTTAAGACGCAGAGGCGAGTCCCTCTTCCGTCTGGAACACAGGCAGTTACACGTCTCCAGGGGAGAACATGTGCTGATTGGTGCTCTCGGCTGCATGTGCTCTATGAAAGGTCAACAGGATGGCCTTAGCCCTCCTTTCTCTTGGCCTTTGTTTTGTGGCTCTCGGTTTGTACCGCCTTCTCCACATCGAAGGCTGCCACAGAAAATCCGACTCCTCTGCCTGACAGCCTCCTGCTTCCCGTTCATTTCACTCTCATAGCATGTGACAATGTGAAAAACACGTGTATCGTTTCCCCATTAGGTATGGCGTCCACGATCATTACATGGATGTATAGTACTAGCTATCGCTGTGACAAATCCCAAGTAAATTTGAGAGTGACGATTAGCTGTGGGTCATTCTGAAGAAAAATGATGCAGGCAGACAGAAACATCTCCCACAAGGGCTTGGGCAGTGTACTTTACCCAAGGGCACATGCTGCAAGAATACAAAATCAGACCGTTGTCATTTCTCCCATACTGCACCTGAGCACTCTCCAAGCTTCCCCGGCGGACACTGGCAGAGGAAAGGTCTCCGGCTGGCTTCATAACCAACACACTGCATGTCCCCCGGGCACGGCTTCTCCACACAGGGGTCGTTGGACCCCGGGCACAGTCCTCCTGTGACAAACGGGAAACATGCATGATCAGTACATGAAGGAGGGATCCTATGGACATTGGGAAGCATAGGGGTGGTTCTAGAGCGCCAGGTTTGTCACTGAATACAAAGACGTTACCCCCAAAGACTGGATTTTATGTGGTGTGAGCACCTGGCAAAGTCTCCACCTCCACCGCGAAGAGTGGCTTTAGCATTGCTTGCAATTCCTGGAGCTCCCCACGCCTCTCAGAGCAGCGCTGTGCTCAATGGGCTTCTCAGTGGCTTGTGTTTGGGGGAAGGAGATGGCCGTGGTTTCCTTCGGAGGTGTTCCAGGTCTGCTGCAAATTCACTGCCAGGCTGAAGCAGGTCAGGTTCAAAGAGTAAATGGGCTAAACTGTGCTCAGAATGAGCCTAGATCGATTTCCGCTGGGCAACAAAGGTCCCATTGCTCAGGGTCTAATGTGTTTATGACAGTGGGGCTCCTGAACAGTGGGAGCTATTTGACTGCCACCCTGGAGTTTCGTTTTCTTCTCTATTTCTCTGGGCTCCGAAAGACTTGGTGGCAGACATTCCGAACATGGTAACTGTCGATTTCCCAAGAGGTGAAAAAGAACTTTTAAAAAATCTAAGTATGCTGAATGTTACACTGGGAAAGCACAACTTAGATTTGTTTCCTAATCGCCTCTGCTCTCTGCTCTTCTTTTGCTCGGCTGTAAATGGCCCCTTTGCAATGATTAAAAACAATGGAACTCTCCCTGGCAAAGAGCCCTTCCTGTCTGCCAGCTCAAGGCTCACAGCACAGTAAGATGAAAAGTTAATCCCTCAGGGGGTGGGTGGGAATCTTAGAAAGCAGATCAACTGTTGAGGGCAGATTCAACCCCTAAGTGAGTTATTTCAAAACCGGTGTTGGGAAATACGGATTCGTTGAAGGAAGTGCAGTTTTCAAAGGCCCTGGGCAGTTGCAAAAGGAATCAGGTCATTTTCAAGCTGGTCAAATTTCAGTGGTAAGACAACCACAGAATAGGAGCCACATAAACTGAAAATAACCCGTCAACGACTCAATCATTCCCTAACAGGGATTCTGCTGTGGTGTGCTGTGGTGTCAATTCTGACTGATAGGGACCCAATATGACAGAATTGAATTTCCCCTTAGGGTTTCTTCAGCTGTAATAATCTTTATGGGAGCACATCACCTGTTTGTTCCTTCTCCCACGAGTGGCTGGTGTACTTGAGCTACCAACCTTTCAGTTAGTTGAACACTTAAGAAATGAGCCCCCTAAACCCATTGAGTGGTCCTACTGAATGCGTGGGCAGTGGCTCATTAAAGAAGGCTCTTCCTGTGAACCACTCACACTGAGACACCAGTAGCTTCATCTCTCAGCAAGGTCAGGCCCATTCTCATACTCTTCCCCTTCTGTACTCTCCCCTCATCATTAAGCATACTGTCCCACTACACAGCCATTTCTTTGTCCAGAAGAAAGCAGACATTTCATGCTAACTCCATATTAACATTTTAAGAACTAATCCTTGAAAGGAGCAACAGAATGAGCACCAGCAAACTCAGAGTGTGCAAATCCTATTTTCCACTGGTTTACAACTCAGGCGTCAAAGACATTCTTGGCACTGATACAGCTTACAAAGTCTTAGAAGATGAAGGGATTTTTGATGGAAAATTTAGAATGATCGCTACAAATGGTTCTAAATGACAGAAGTGCCCTGAAATCCATTTTCCTAGTTTCTTCTCAAGAAATCTTTGTGTCATGGATGGAGCTGAAAACAGCCCTTTGGCCATCTCATGACCTATTTGAAGAGGCTCTTTTGAGAACCACTTTGAAATAACTGGGGGTGCATTCATTCAGGGAATAACTGGTTAGGGCCAATGACACATTAAGGCCGGGCATATAAAGATGAAAAGAAGTGATCCTTCTCCCTCTCCTCTCATGGGGACCCCACCTGTGTAGAGCTGAGCTGCTCTACAGAGTCATCGCGGCTCTGGCCATTCTGAAGCAGCTTGTCAGGTCTGTCTTCCCAGGAGCCCCTAGTAAGGTGTGAATTGCACACCTTTCTGTTAGCAGCCTCATGCTGAACCACTTAGATCACCAGAGGACTTTGCCATGGGTCAAAATCAGATGGATGGCAACGAACAACAACTCTGTCCCTGAGAAAAACAGTAAGCAAGCATCTGGTTGCAACATTGTGGTTGGATGCAACATTGTGGTTGGATGCAACATTGTGGTTGGATGCAACATTGTGGTTGGATGCAACATTGTGTTTGGATGCAACATTGTGGTTGGATGCAACATTGTGGTTGGTTGCAACATTGTGGTTGGATGCAACATTGTGGTTGGATGCAACATTGTGGTTGGATCCAACATTGTGGATGGATGCAACATTGTGGTTGGATGCAACATTGTGGTTGGATGCAGTCGCCTCTGACTCTCGGTGACCTCAAGTATAAAAGAATGAAGCATGGCCTGACCCGGTGCCATTGTTACCATTGTGGTTATGCTTGAGCCCTCTGTGGTTGTCAACCCATCCCAGTGAGAGCCTTCCTCTTTTCCAGTGGCCCTCTACTTTCCTAAGTGTGATACCCTTTTCCAGGGACTAGTCTCTCTTTAGAACATGTCCTAAGAATGTGAGGCGAAGTCTCGCCACTCTCGCTTCTCAGGAACATTCTGGCTGTACTTCTTCAAAGACAGCTTTGTTTGCTCTTCTGGCAGCTTACAATACAGTAAGATCATGGTGTTGTTGGAGCTGTCGTTCCAAAAACTCACTGAGTCGATTCAGACTCCTAGCAACCCTTTAGGACAGGGTAGAACTGCCCCTATGGGTTTCTGAGGTTCTAACTTTTTACGGGAGTAGAAATACTTTCTCTTTCTCTTGAGGAACTGACTAGTAGTTTTGAATTGCTGACCTTGTGGGGGCTGGCAGTCCAATGCATAACGACTATGCTACTACCACCTGGGTACCACGGAATCAACTTGACTCATAGTGATCCCATGTGGCAGAGCAGAATTGGTCCTCAGGGTGCTCCCAGCTGTGATGGAAAAGGTATCTGTCTCCTATAGAGATGCCGGAGGGTTCCGACCACCAATCTTTCCGTTAACAGGTGAGTGTGTGACTTTTGCACCATCAGGGCACCTGGAAAAGCCAGTGTAATGGAAGGACCGCAGAAGGAACAATTCTATTTCCTGGGGGATGGCCAGAGGTCTTCATAGAAGAAGAGAGCATTTATTTCAACTCAGGTTTGAAGGATGAGTCTTTGAGTAAAAAGGCATGGTGTTTCATGGTGATGAATCAACCACAGTTCCTGGCTGAACCACATGCCTGCCCCCTGTTTACACACAGCAAGTCTACAACTCTGCCAGCTGACTGTCAGCTCTCTGTGTCTGCCTTCCATTTTTTTCCTGATGGCCTGCACATTTCTAGGTAGGTCCCAGATAATGACCAGCCAACTCACTGCTGTGCAGTCGATTCCAACTCGGAGCTTCCCTGTAGGGTGGAGCCAAACTGCTCCATGGGGTTTCAAAGGCTGTAAATCTTTGTGGAAGAAGATTGCCTCCGTGTTCTCTCATGGGGCAGCTTGTGGGTTGAAACCACCCATCTTATGGTTAGCAGCCCAAAGATGAACTTCGGTACCACCAGGGCTCCTCGATGACAAGGTAGTGTAAGCTACAAAATTCAAACTACACCACGAGCAGGTAGCAATGTGTCTAAATGGATCCCAAAACATGTCCTATCAAATAGAAGCACCACCTTCTCATTAGACACAGAAACAGTGGTTTCTGTGTTTAAAAGTCTGTTTCTTGCCATTACATGGATATCCTTCCATCCCCCCTCCCTTTCTAGTTAACAAGCCTAAGAATAGATTCTCTGTAAATTTCTATACTTCTGAGATAAGGCTACATACACTAAATTCATAGTCTGTTCTGCCTGAATATAATGTCTGCACTGATAAGAAACCTTGTATTATCAAAAACCCAGTTTTAAAGGCATTGCTCCAAAGAGGAAAAAGGGTTAGTAATTCCACACTATTTTATATATATAAAAATTTAAAAGAGCTATAAAAAGCTAAAGACGATATTTCAGAATAAATCCAGCATTTGAGTACTTCTACCTTTTATTCAAAGGAGCCCTGGTGTTGCAGTGGTTAAGTGCTTGGTTGCTAACCAAAAGGTCAATGGTTTGAATCTACTAGCTGCTTTGTGGGAAAAGATGTGGATGGGGCATTATGTTCTTTTGAGAATTATCTGTATGGGATCCTCATGACAACAGTGTCTTGAAAGAAGGGATAGGAGCGGTGAGTTTATGTTAATGGAGAAAGAGCAGCTCAGAAAAGGAGGGGAAGAGTGGTTGTACAAGTAGGAGTAACTGTTGAGCTGGTGAGCGTTAGCCATGTATACACTCAACTGCAGCAGCAATAAGAGAGCCCACCCTTGGAAACACTCTGGGCCGGCTCTACTCTATCCTAGAGGCTCTACTCCTCTATCCGAGAGGCTCTACTCTATCCTAGAGGCTCTCTGTGGCAGAATCCACTTGGTGGCAGCACAACTACCTCTCATTCTCTGGCGTTGGCCTCTCTCTAGCCATCAGGACTTAGCCATGAGTAATAAGGGGGTTCTCACTCAACTTCCCCACTCATTACATTCCCCTACTTTGGCTTCTAGGACAAAGCCACCTGGAACAAGAGCTGAAGCTCACAGCTTTTTTTCCTTTTAATTTCTTTGTGTCATAAACTACAGCTGACCAAATAATTAAAGCATGGCCCCTAATTAGTGAATTATGTTAGCTCAAATTCTCATGACAAGACTCTGTGTAAGACTAATTACAGTATTACATCAAACTGTACATTAATATAAACCAATTATAAGTACATTAAGGTGCTGTCAAATCGGTTCCAGCTCATAGTGACCCCTGTGCCATGCTGCCCAGTCCTGCGCCTTCCTCATAATTATTCCTATGTTTAAATTCACTGAAGCCACTGCGTCCACCCATTTTATTCAAGGTCTTCCTCTTTTTAGTT